AGAAACCAGTTAAAATGCTTCAGGTTCACTCTCATGATTCCCTACACCTAGTCATTGGTACCTGGTGGTCATCACTGTTACTGTAAATTTGTTTTTGAAATCTCTATTAATGGCGACTCTGATGGAACCCATTTGGAAACATCAGAATAACGTTAGAGTATATTTGGTAAGGCTCTAGAAGCCACCAGTTTGTCGAAGAATTTGGAAATTCACATTTCGCTGGTGGCATCGATAAATTTCCAAAAATACGAGACTGGAATGTACAAAGAGTGACTCAGTTCAGAGGATCAAAGCCACAGAATAATCTGAATGAACTAAGGAGCGAGAGAATGAATGTATGGTCAAGTCAGCACATTCCAACGATCATCTCCGCCTCATCAATATACCTTTGAACTTTTCTGGTTGGGACGGCACCATTTACGACGCTACCTTAAAGTGAGGTCGCTTAGCAAATCGTACGAGTAGGTCGTGCGCGACAAAGACAAGCAGATTTGAGGAGAAAGTGCTGAATAACACTGATTATCAGCTGTTTCTTGCGTTTGACGATGCCGACAACAACTGGCCTCTTTCGGACATCGTCAGTGTCCTAAACAGACTGGATACTAAACAGACTCGAAATTACCTTACCTAGCTACGTCAATGCATAACAGCGCGTCAGCTGACTGCAACGAACACTACCACGGACAGTAACCCCAAAATGGTCACAATCGCAGTCATTTCATCATCACATGATTCTTTATGTGTTAAAGTTCCATTTTGTTGCTGACTAACGAATGATCTGTACCTATTTTGTTGAGAAACATTTCCTCATTAATCGCTTGTAGTAGCCATTCAAAACCTCAACGAATGGACGCGCGGTCAAAAATGGAGGGAAGGTAAATAGGAGCGGGCTGGACAAACTGCAGTAAGGTCTGGTGTAAGCTAAATAGTCAGGATGCTTAAACAAACTCAAAAAATAATCAAATAAGAAGAGGAAATCTCCAAATTTCTACACTGTATACCGATGGCATACACAGGAAAAGAGTTCGTTCCAACAGGAAACCAACGCAAAGGCCTAATTTTCGTCCAGAAACTGATAGCGACAGACGATAATGCAGCCACATACAATAAGATTAAAAATCTAGAGGATAAGCCGCCTTTCAGACAATGACCTATTCAGGCATATAACTGATTTTGCGCCTTTTTATGGCACTCTCATGGATAAGAACATCCTGAAGAATAACGGTTAGCCACTGTCTGACAGTCTCTCGCAATGTCAATCGCGAGCCTCATCCAGTAGACCCAGATAAGTTAAAGCTCTTCGTCAGAACACAACTGTACCGAAGATCTATAATCCCAGCTTCAGCGCGCATTCTAAGAAGTTCAGCAGACATAAGCAATAATACTTAAATCTGCTCAATTGACAAATTCTTCTTCCTGTTTTTTATGCATAAATATGCCTACAGATCGTGGCATATTTGCAGATGTCCGAACAGGCCTTTGTTTGACCCTACATAGTGATGCGGTCCTGAATGCATATATCGTGGGCGTTCAAACACCATGAAGCAGTGGCCTGTTTAAATGGTTCCCTAGACGACTAAAAACAAGGAGACAGTGTCGTTACGTCATCCAGTAACAAAAGAGAATGTGTTACTTCTTCCTGTCTGTCTCTATTATTTCTACTTTGCAGTTTCATAGTTCCAGGTTCTTGCTGTTAGCTCCAAGTGTTCGAATACGATCCTGTTTCCTGTTTCTGTTTTGTGTCGTTATATGTACATAATTCTCAGGTATTTTCTATTTTATTTCTGTTTCACTGGAAATAAATGGAATTCTTTGGTGATCCCATTCAAACAGTAAACTATTCATAATTCATTCAACAGTATGGCGAAAACAGCCCATTTTTAAACAATAATTTCGTGAATCGGATGATTAAATAGTACCGAGATTCTGGTTCGTTTCTCACTCGCCATTTTAATGGCATAGAATTTGGCAGACAATCTATAGACGTCCCTTTCTGCTACTCCGTTTCATGCTGTCTGCAGTATTAAGACCAGCCCACGAACGACTGACCCAATTTTCAGATTCAACTGCATAGTATAATACAGTGTATGACCGTAGTGTACAGTCGTTTTCAATTGACGAGGTCTGTATTTCATTTCTGACAAATTTTTGCGCTTGGCCAAAAAAAGCGAATATATTTTTGCCGAAGATATCGTCATCAAACGGTTATTACCTTTGCTCATTAGATTTGATTCACAGGAAAGTAACACAGTGTATTAATTTGAGTATATTATACTGAACATCTAGGCAACATAATGTGAATCGACGAGTGCTTTCAGATAAAAGGTTGCCTTAGGATTATGAAATGCATTTCGACCAAATGAATACGATTACATATCCATGAAAAGCAGATGCCACAACAGCATGGAACTGTGGCCTGCCTAGATTTCGCTCTTCCTTCAATAAGCCTCTATCAGTAAGGGTTGGAGAGAAAACGCCATGTAAACACGGTTAACGATGTTCATTGCTCATTTTCGCTGAGAGTGAACTAAAACTTTTGCCGTCAAACGTTCTTAAGCATGCAACGCTTCGATAATGTAAAACAGTCGAAAAATTGCTGCATAGATACAATCCTTTAGTCCGTCTCGTAGAATTCGACAACGTTCAAAGTAAGGGATCGCTGGGCGATGTTGTTTCCCTTCAACCGTTAACCTAGCGGTGAAGGTTTGTTGTCAAAAACATGACAATTAGTCAACGATGTTCTGGAGAACAATTATAACAACCTGACTGGTCCACCTTGTGGTTGGGAAACGGATGCCACGACTCAACCGGCCGGCAAATGAGCTCCATCCTGTAGAGGTCAGTGAAGGTCTTCATTTAACAAGCAGGGATCTGCTCACACTGGAGTAACGTGGCTGCTCTTCCGCGCTCCAGATCTGCATCTGTTTTGCTTCATGGAGGTGGAGTATAAAAAGGGACGGGCAGCCAAGCAACGAAGAAACAGGGAACCGAAATGCTGCAACTGGGATTGGGCTCTGACGTACCAACGCGATGCTCAAGGGCAATTTTACAGTTTTATGATTGGTGTAACGGTGCTCCGACGACTACGCACGTATGATGGTGATTCCTACGGTAGAAAATTCAAAAATGAGAATTTGATTAACGGTAAAACTTTCGCAACTCCGACACAACTTTCGTGCATCGGCGAAAATTTCTCAATAATTGTCATTTCTTTCCTGCGACTGTCATGCTGCTTCAAAACCGCTTTGCTAGGACTGTGAAAGCTTCGTACATAATAAATTTCTGCTTATGGCTAGTCACTGTTTTCACCAGGTAGATGATCTGCGTTCGGTCTGACTATGAGCTTCGCAAGCAGATCATGCAATACTCTGTCCACAATTAATACCACGTAAACAGTTACAATCCTATGCAAAAAATAATTCATGTCAGGAAATCTGCTGCATCGCAAAGATGTCTTAGAAGTCTGAATCATAAGGGGCTGATGCGGAGAAAACGCTTTTTGGAATGATGTATTTCTGCCAGCATCAGTGGCTTTCAAACTGTTTCTTTTGTACACAAAAACACGAATGGCCGATGAGAAAATCGTGAGGGACAAACTCGAGAGCACAAAAAAACAACTCAAGTACTCGCTTACCTGTTCGACGACGTTTGATTATGTTCCGAGGGCGCAGTCGCGTTTCGGGATCCGATTGGCTCGTCCTTGGCTATAGTTAAAAGAGAAACGAAATGAGGTAAAGAAGAGAAAGAAAGAAGCCCTGAGAGGTCGGTCCATGGCGGCTCACTAACCTGTTATCGATCCGAACTTCAGCTTCTCGCCGTTCGAGTTGAACATGGTCGCGTCCGGGCCGGCGACCAGGGCGGTGTCCCAGGTGATGGCGCCTACCACTGCAAAAACCGCAAACAGTTGAAAATGAAATTATAATTTTGCACTGAACCGTATGAACATTTATCATTTACCTGCAGAGTGATCGTCCGGCAGTGAGAGCAGAAGGAAGCAGAAGACAAACAGGCTGACGATCATGGTTTTGAGACGGAAGAGATGGCGATCGGTAACATGCTGAAACAATGGACAATACAAATCATTGTTACAGGGAGCAGAAGCAATGGTCATCGTAAAATCACTCTAAACTCAAACATTTCGTGGTCAGCAGTGCTGGGTGCTAAGCAGTCCTCAGATCGGAGGAGGTTGATAAGGGACACTGGTTCATCATTTTTGATGATCCGTTGGTAACAACGAGTATGGAAAGAGGTGAAAGCAAGGAATCTCCGGCATATTGACTGCTGGCACATAGACCAAGTGACATCGACAAGCCTGGTGACCGTATCAGGTAGCAAGCACGAAGCCGAACGATCGGTTAAATGCACAACCGAAGGTGATGTTAATCTCTTTGTTGTAGACGTTCTTTTCTGGCTGGTCACGCCGTATGTAGTGCATGGCTCGGATTTGCGATATGTGGCAGAACGGCTATCCGACGGAGTAGCACATCTGTGCCAGTCGACCGTAGGATGGCAGAAGCTTGGGCTTAGGGAGTTCGGAGGGACTCCAGATGGTCACGAATGGTGAGGCAACGCCAGCCGGTTGGAAAGAGTGACAACTCATCGAAGAAGGAAGCCCGTCGCCCTGCACCGTTTCTGCAGTGTCTCTCCACTTGGCATAGCGGAACGTGCGTCATATCTGCGATCGACGTCAGTCTCCGCCGTCCTCTACCTATTTGTCTGCTTCACACCCGACATGCACTTCGCGTAGTTGTTTCGCAGCATTTATTACTTTTGCAATCTCTGATTTATGACTGTCGCCAGCCAGCCCGCAAAACAGCGAGTGCGATCGACCGCTGGTGCGAAGGGGCGGTAAAACCGGCATCGCCGCAAAACTTTTAGCATCCTCTGGTTTTTTTAACCAACAACTGCCTCTGGCCGATTCCTGTCTGCCGCTAATACATTTGCCACCTAGAAAAACAGTTTTTCCAACTTGGCAGTAAATCAGTGTCTGTTTTCTTGTTGAAGAATCGATGAAAAAGTCAATTAATTTAATTAATTAAAAGTAAATTATCAGAAAGGGCGAAGTGCGGTGCGAGCAATTTCGATCAACCGATCAAGTCGCCCTGCCATATAACTTTCTAACGAAATCTGTGATATGTGATCCTGTCATGAGAGAGAGAGGTGGTCATGTGCTCTGATTCGTGATTTTGCCGTATAATATTATACAACTAAATCTCATACCTTGCGAGATGCCATGACCTTAGTTCTATCTGCCATTTGATTGCCTGGGCACTAGATGAAAAGTAGACATGAATGCACCGGAAAGAAAGCTAGGCAATGCTTCTTCGTTATTCGTACCCATCGCCTCAAATGCTTTATCGATAACGTTTTCATGTTTCCGGTACGAATCTGATGTACGTGTCTGTGTATGCACATATGCAGACTCTCACC